ACAAAAGAATTCACAACCTCCTTTGTTAAATAATTGAACAAAAATCAAGAACTATGCAAGAATCTTTCAGATTCAACAATTTTTATGGATAAATTAGATGTATGGCGTGAGGAAGAAAAAGTCCATCATTGTGGGAAGCCTTACATACCTGGAAAGAACAATGTTCTTGGTGAAAATTGACGAGATCTTGACGAACGCTCAAAACCTAGCTCTTTCTCCTCTTGTACTCTTCTCTTATTTTTCTAAGTGTTTAGGAACGACAAAGAATGGTTTAGTATCTGATTAGACCCCTATTTGGGTCAGGAAAAAGTGCTAAGCCTAGTGGGAAAAAGGAAAAGATGAAAATACCTTTTTCTAAAATGGATGAAATGCCTTAAAAGTGAGGCTTCACTCAAACAGGCATAAATTTTTACTCCGAGCTTGAAATTTACCAAACTTGGCAGCTTTGGAAAGAGGACCAAAGTCCTTCAATTTAATATCTCATGGGCCACCTAATTCTTTATGTGCTAAAAGATATGATCAATTAAAGTTGATCCAAAACTAGAAATTGATGGTGACTCGTACGCATTTCTCTTTAGTTCTTTCGAAATCCGAGGTGTTACACCCATGTCGCTTGTGTGATACGTGGGAGGGTTTTGTCATGCAGATTTTGGGGTTTAAGCCCCATTTCACTGTTTTTGAACTTGGGGAACCTTTGGTGGCGAATATTGAAGGGATTTCTGTTCTAGATCAGTTGAGTGACTGCTTTTTATCCTAAACCTTCATTTTACTTTGATTAATTATGAGTATTAACATCAAAATATGAGGTTATGATTGGTAAATGATGACGTTTTCCAAGAACTTAACTTCTTAGATAAAATGGAATTTGTGAACTGATTTCAAGTCCTATTTTGAAATAATTTTCCCTAATGAATTCATAAAGACTTGAGTAAGGTTTTCAAGTATTAAATTTCAGATTCAAACCTTAATTTTTTGGAGTTGGATATTGTGTTAATTGACATGTCTTTCAAGGGGATTGTTGTGGGTGTTGTTGTTTCTGGAAAGTGATTGGTAATACTTGCTTGTGCATAGATTGTAGGGCTTTGGAGGTGATTCGGATGGGGAAGACTCAACTATTGGAGTGATTGTTCATTGATTTAAGGCAAGTGACTTCCTAAACCTAATTGTATTCTAGTTGAATTCGTATGCTTCCTTCATTGATTTCATGTTGGGAGTAATGATAATGAGGTGAAGGTTTTAAATTGTCCATTTGTTATATCTAAATGCATAAAGAGGGGTTGAAATGAAAAAAGGCTATGTGATGAACATGATAATGTGAATTGCCTCATTGTGACCCTTGATGATTGACTGATGATATGCTTGAAAGCATGATAGTGTACTTGAATTGTATGATTTGTTGTCTTTTCCATGTGGTGTGATATTGCTTGTATTCATTGATTGTGAACACAATGATAAGACCTATGATGAGTGTTATTATGCTAAGGTCTTTGTTGGTGAGTTTTATTATGCCGAGGTCTTTGCCGGTAACTGTTATTATGCCGAGGTCTTTGCCGACGAGTGCTATTATGCTAATATCTTTGGCGGCGAGTGTTGTTATGCCGAGGTCTTTGCTAGCGAGTATTATTATGCTGAGGTATTTGTCGGAGAGTGTTATCATGCCGAGGTTTTTACCGATGAGTGTTATAAAGCCGATGGGAAATGGTTTCGACTAATGATGATCATTGTGACTTGATATACTTGATGTTTATGCGTGACTGACGTTTGGATTGTGATTGATGTACTTGTTATATCTGACTAAACTACTTGTTATTGAGATTGACTTATTTAATTTGTTTGATTGGTAAATTGTGAAGATTGAATTGTGAATATTGGGCTTGTGTGCCGCGTATTATAGAATTGCTAGGTTGGTTTGATTTTTGTGCAGGTTGTAGTTTGAGGAGGTTCGGTTGGAGAGTAAGGGGATGTTTGATTTCTAGCTAGTTTCTTTGTTTAGTAGGTTGCTTGCTGAGTACCGTGTTGTTGGTACTCACCCCTTGCTTCTACACTTATTTAGTTTCCGAGCCTAGACCCGTGTGATCTCTTTCTCCTTCACCTTATCTCGAGGCTCCTCAAGGACTTGAAGAGGTAACTGTTTTTCATTTGGCGGACCCTATTTTTCCTTTTCTTACACTTTGTTCTATTTGAGAAACAAAGTTTGAGACTTGTAATTATTTCTAAATTCCACACTTATGTATTTAGTGGCTTGCACAGTGACCATTAGATTTTGGGGGTTTTAATAGAAGATGAAGTTTTTTGCTTTATCTTGTTCTTGATTTTACTGTTTTTTGCTTTTGTTTCATTTTCATTGGGTTGAGGCTAACTTGTCTTGGTTGGAAAAGACAGGTGCCATTACATATATTTTTGGATCGTGACAACATGTAGACATAGTCTTTGTAGAAACGTTATATATTTTCAACCATGACTTTGTAAATTTTGGAGATCCTGCAACATTTTTACATTTGGTGGTTTTCTTTCTTGAATTATGTTGTACATTTTCAGCCATAATTACTGATTTATTTGTCAGTGTTCTTGAGAAATCCATGGAAACATTCCCATAAAGATTTTATACCTTGACAACCTGCAAGTACTCGACCTCGAGAAAAATAATATTACTGATATGATTCCCGAGTCTATTGGACAACTAAGGAAACTTAGTAAGTTACAACTTCACCAAAACAAATAATGTGCTTTTGGATGAAGATTTTGTTGTTTATTTAGGTGACTTTGGATTGGAGATTTTCGCAAGTTCAATTTTTTTTCGTGGTAAAAAATAAGAGATAGCATTGACAAATTGAATGCCAAAGCAGATCCATTGTTCTTATAAGAGATATACTCGAATAGGTCATATCTATTCTCGTTTTACCAAATGCAATTAGGACGAAAGCTGCAAGTTGTAGGCATATAGCTACAAACTACAACTTTTCTCCATCCATATCCTTTCCCAACTTCGTCAAAAAACTTTGAAAACAAAATTAAAAACAAATAAATACAAAGAGCATGTCATATAGTTTAAACCTACAAAAACAATTTTTGTACCTAAACTAGAGGCATATAGCAGACTTCAAAGTACCAACTTTAAAATGAAGCTTAGACTATTGTTAGGCTCAAACTATAGTTTAACAATATACATACAGAACAAGAGATACAGAAAGGCTACACGGAAGCAAGTAACTATTTGAGGCACCATTGCTGAATATCAATTATCACAATCGGTGAATTAGTAGTCTCTCCTGTGCTTATACAACGCACTGTCAAACTAATTCTTCATATGATCAAGTTCCTTTACAAGTTATCAATAGCCTAATTATATATCTGCATTAGAAACTCTATCTATGCATTCAATAATTATTTTATGAAACTTATTGCACCACTCCATTTTCAAGACTTTCATAAAGAGTAACTAACTTTAGGCGAATAAGAACATAGCCAATAATATAAATTAAAAACTTTGATTTCAAAATGCGATAATGAAGGTAAGTATAACTAAAAGAAAAACAAAGATATTTGAACAAATGATTATGCTATAAAACTATGCCTAGAATTATTTTCTATCAAAAACACACTATGTTAGCAAGAGTAGTAATAACTAACAAGATGTATGGTTGTGTTAGGCGTAGCATTTAAAAGTTAGTTACAAGACTGATGAGGTGGCAGTAGTCAGTTACAAAGTTGTTACAAATATTTTGTACTCTTTCATTAGTAGACTAGTACAAAAGGACATACATGTACAAATTCATTGCACGAAGACATTAATACAATTCTCTTCTCTCTTTCTCTTCTAAATGTTATGTAGTTTGTGTTGATATGCAATCTCCATTCATGGAGTTATCATGGTATTAGAGTAGGGGCCATCTCACCCAATGTTGGGGTCCCCCCAAAAAATCAAAATTTCCCACGTACCAGATGCTAAGCACTGGGCGTGAGGTTAGGTGTTAAAGAATGACAAAAGTCCCACATTGGTGGTTAATGAGATGGTGGACTCCTTATAAGGCTTGGTTAATCCTCCTCCCTTTAATCTAGCTTTTGGGGTGTAAGTTTGGCCCAAGACCTAATTTCACATGGTATCAGAGCTCTTGATCGTGAAAGGCCAAAGGCTAAGAAACTAAATAAGAAGTGCTCAGATTCATCATTGTCCAAAGGTGAATTGAAAGGAAGCATCAAAAGTAAAGCTAATAGCAATGACGAATGGAAATACAGCCGAGGAAACAAGCACTGGAAATGGAACTACGAGTCAAGCCATATTTTTAGTAATAGATCAAATCACCCATTATTTCTTCAACACACTGATATTCCAGGTAATTCTTTGATTTCTCTTTAGTTAACTAGTTTAGAAAACTATGCTTTGTGGAGTAGATCCTTTAGGATTGGACTAGTGGGGAAAAACAAGTTAGGCTTTGTAGATGGACGATTTCCTAAATCCATGTTTGAACCAATTTTGTTCGATCAGTGGGAAAAATGTAATGCTGTAGTGTTAAGCTGGATTATGAATGCTGTACGACAAGACTTCTAAGCTCTATAGTGTATGCTTCTAATGCACGCAAACTTTGGTTAGACCTAAGAGAAAGGTTTGATACAATAAATGGATCTAGGATTTTTCAATTGCATAGAGAGATTCACACACTAATTCAGGGGACTATGTATGTTGCTGACTATCATTCTAGGCTAAGAGAACTTTGGGATAAATATGATGCTCTTATGCCTTATCCCAGTATTCCCTGTCCAAAGTCAAATAAATTTGGTGAAAACTATGACTATCAAAGACTCTTGCAGTTCTTAATGGGACTAAATGAGTCCTACTCAACTCCTAGGAGTCAGATTCTCATTATGAGTCCAATTCCAACACTTAACAAGACTTATGCTCTTCTTATTGACCTAGAGAGTCAGATAAATCTAGCTAGTTCTACTTCCACTAGCTAAGGGGTGATAGAAGGAACATCAATGTATACTCACAGAGGCAACATCTACAGTGGTGGAGCAGGCACATCTAAAGGCTCAATTCCAAGTGGAGTAGGTGGGTCATACTCAGGAGGATCTGGTGGTGGATACGACAGTGATGCTAGTACTTCTGGAGGATGCTACAAAGCTAGAAAGTCATTTCTTATATGTGAACATTGTGAATGCAAAGGTCATTCTAAGGAGCAATGCTATAAAATTGTTGGATATCCTGCTGTAACACCCCGAAAACTAGTAGGCTTAACTAGAGCTTGTCGTAAGGGTTAAGTCCTAAAATTTTCTTCTCGTACTTAGAATGAATGGTTTAGGGGTTAAACGTCAAGGTACGACCCCCAAGGACCAACCAAGGGTCCTTGAAGGAGACTCAAAACATTCCCTAGAAACTGCCCAAAAATGGGCCACATACGGATCAGACTCACGCACAGTAGGTAGACCCATGCCCCGTGGTTGGGTGTTGTGGGTCAAGGTACAAACATTAGAGCTGCAGACCCCAAACCACGCTCCACCAGTAAGGTCCGTGGGTCAGTCCACACCCCGTAGGTGGGGGTCGTGGATGGGGACATGTGGACTGTCCTAGGGGCGGTTAAGGCTAAGGGGTTTTAGGTAATTTCCTTTTTAATTTGTATTTAGTGAGGTTATTTTGTGTAGTTTTAATACACCTATATAAGCCTTTTTAAGCCATTAACTAACTCATTCACCTCATAAATCCCAAAACTCAAATCAATAACCAACTTTTCCCCAAAATCCTCTCTCTAGAACTCCAAGAAAGAAGAAGAAGAAAGGTGAAGCTAGGGTTGAAGAATCAAGATTTTCTCTTCAAATTCGTGGTAATTCTTCAATAAGGTATGGTAGCTCTTCATCCATTGGTAGCCTTCACCCATGGAGCCCCGTCAAAACCCCCAATTTCAAAGCTAAAAAACCCAAAAGTTAGGGTTTGACTTCAATATCATGGATTCCTTTCAAATTCATTTTAAATAATTGAATTATGTTTGTTTATGGATATATTTATGATTTTATATGACTTTAAGTTGAATTCCTCAAGAATCCATGAATTACCCTATTTTCTCAAATTGGATCTTAAAGTGTGGGTATTGATTGATGCAAGTAGAATGTTATAGAATTATGAATGTAATGAATTGATTACATGAATTATGTTATCACCCATGTCTAATGTAGTAATTCTAGATGTGTTGATAAATTATGATCCATGGTCCTTGAAGGACAAAGTATGAGAATTATGCATGTTTTTGAGGTTTATGTATATGTTTTAAGAACACTTTGAGAGTAAAGTGATTATTACTATGATGTAATTGTGGTGTTGTTGAAAGACAATTCTCACACACAAGCACTTATGAATGAAGTTTACTTGATTATGATAATGATGTTGTGTTGATTGAAAGGTTATTCTCAATTATACATTTATGGATTATGATGACATGTTGTGGAAGACTTTTCTCACCAAAATGAATCGGTAGGCCAATGGTACCCCTTCCATGAGGATTCAATGAGATATTCTAATGATGAACCTTGAATCGGTTGGCCAATGGTACCCTTTTCATGAGTGACCAATGAAGTATTCTGATGATGAACCTTGAATTGGTAGTCCAATGGTAACCCTTTCATGAAGAGTCTATGAGATATTCGAATGATATACCTTGAATCGTTAGGCTAAGGGCACCCTTTCATGAGTAATGATGTTAAAAGAGAATTAACTACTCTGTGAGAATTTAATGCTTAGTACCAAGTGGATATTGTGAGGTGGAAGTTCTCCCTATGTCACGACCCGGGAGCACCCCCAAGTCGTAACAAGGCATACTCGACCCCGAAGGGGTCTTATACGAGCCACATAGTCATTCATTGCATTCAATAATGAAAATAGTGCGGAATAAAAAAAAAACTTATTTACATCCACACATTTAAACTTCTTAAAACAACTTTAAAAACACACAGCGGAAGTCTAAGTCTCACATGGCCATCTTAGACACAAACAAAAACATAAGTAGGGACACGGCCCTTTACAATCAAAAGAAGTCTATTACATGAACAAAAGAACTTAAAAGTCTTGTCCTCGAATCCATGAGGACATACCAAGTCTTGGAGGAAAGCAATCCAACACTTCAAACTAGCTAGGAGGGATCACTTGCCGGAACCTACACTTGTAGTAAAAACATGAAGAATATGG